TATATATATATATAATTAAAGGTTGTCGCTACAGTAGATAGAAATCATGGACGTGATGCCTAGAAAGAAATACCGAGAATTAATCGCGATACAAAAGCATCGTTAATGTTCCAAGTGGTTTTATTGCACTTTGACGAGTTCGTGCATATGTATCACATACATCTACTAGTCGTGATTAATATTTGATGTTTCGTGATGATGTGAAATTGAAGAGGAAGCGTCATATAGTATATTCATTGCGCTATCAATTTGAAAAGAGAATATTGAAATGAAATTTATCATCATATGTATGTCGAAATATGTTCTAGGAAAAAGTCGAAATTTATCTTTTCTTCTTTTCGCTCATTTGAAGACATTAATTCTCTGTCAAGCACCGTAGCACCGGAGAAAGTGACGTGAGTGATGAAATAGATGGACATTCATTCAAATATTTATCCAAGTATCCTTTTTCTTGTTCACGAATTCTATTATATTGCTGAAATCGACAGCGAATGTATAATATTATTTATTTTCTTTCTCTGCAAAATATTAAAATAATGTTATTGTACTATTGCTTGTTTCTATGATCCGGATGTGAGTTTATTTAAACTTGGACAATTTTAAGGAACAATTTAAAAGAGGAATTTATTGTATGTATATTGCTGATAAAGATATGGAACGATGAAGAATGAGTGATCAAAGAATAATCACACCACATTTGTGTAATCCCGCTTAATTTCCTCTACTAGAAACGTCATCTCGTTTTCCCTCTTATTTTTTTTTCTTAATTCCCCTATATTTACTTTGGGTAAATTGAGCAAACGTTTACTTTCCTTCGCATATGTCAACTTCACGATGTGTCATTAAATTAAAAATTTCGTTATACGATGCAATGATTCTCACGCATGTACAGTGGAATTTCCCCCAGCTAACGCTAAATATTCTCAGAAAGTTCGATTTGTATTACCAATGTACCCAATGTTCCGGAAAAATAAAATAATTGTCACAGAATGTATAAATGTTGAAAAAATATTCAGAATATTCTTTATATATTTCACGAAAATCGCGAGCGAGCGAACAATACACATCTTCGCCGACAGAGAATCGCGGCAAAGAGCATTTATTCGTAAACAAGAATCACTTAGGAGAGAATGAATGAAAGGAGCGCAGCACTTCGTTTATGAAGTGAGCCAAAATTGGGCTCCAAGGTGAATTTTAAAAACTGATTCACAGATGACCTGATGAGAATTTTTAGAAAAATTAAAATTTTGCAAAATATATATGGAATATATAATATGGAACATTCTCAAAATATATAACGATATACAAATGAAATTTTTAACTGACATTTGAATGTTTTTTTTACATATCGTAAATATTCGGAATATTTTGAAATATTCTTGGAATATTTTTTAGGGATTTTAGTAGGATGTATTTCTATAGAATATTCTGATTTGATCAGATTGATCCCATTTTGATTCAAAACATTAAATCGTTCATATTATTAGCTCAGGATACTTGTAATTATTATTGCACTAATATAAAACGTCCATAAAATATCCTATTTTGATCTGAAAAAATTTTGATCACTATATTGCATTTTTATGCAATATAGTGATAAATTGCATTTTTCAACTTTCGATATATATATATGTCATATACATATTATATTTACGTATTTTACGTATATATTATACAGATATATCTTTGCAATTTAATTATTAATTTTTTAAATGTAATAAATAAATATCTTACAAACATATTAAAAACTATCTTTTGTTTCAGAAGAATTTTATCATATTTTTATATGTTATTAATTTGACAGTTATTGTAGCTAAAGCTTATTTTGTTTTTTTTTATTGTACAGAATTTATTTTTAAGTAGATACATGGTTATTTATTAACAAAGCAAAAGGAGTTTCAATATATTTTACAAAATCGGTTCTATGGACTGTAAGTACTATTTTAATAAAGTAAGTACTGTTTTTTCTATTTTACTAATTATACTAATTATGATTATACTTCTATTAAAAAAAAACACTTTCAGAGGCGCTATGAACACACTCTGATCGAGCTAATTAAGAATAAGTAATGAACTCCATTTACATACTCTTCTTTATAGAGATCTGCGTCGTTTTCTCCTTATGGA